GCTGTGATCCATCATCACAACATCTTATGGGACAAAATGAAAGGCGTCACGCGGGAACAATATCTTTCCCGCAAGATCAAAGAAGCATTGTTGATCAGAGCAACCAACTGTATCAACCGTGACCTTGGAACAGACGCCAGCGACACATGGACCGTAAACATCAGACGGCCAATCAAAACCAGTAAGCAAGCTCGGCACCAGTAATATAACGAAAAATATTGCGTGCCCTTGTTAGTGTACTCTGAAGACGGACCGAGTTTGGTCCGAAACGTCAGATGTCTCTAATTAAAGAACATTTTATGCTTGGTCTTCCTGTTTGTGGCAGTGGATGATCATCGGTCTTACAGGGTGACACAACAATAATGGAATACCGTACAATATCTAATGTCTGCAGCATCAATCATTTGCTACCCATTTTCGGCTTGTTTCATCGAAGTACAGTGCGGTGAATTTGTTGCTCAGGGGAATTCAGAATTAGTATGATAGGTTTACGCCGCAGTAAGACTCTAGGCAGCTTACGTTTGCGAAGTTGAATAATTTCCTCTGTGCCTCCGTTCTGTTCAAGATCCTTTTCTGTTTTACCATGTGCATAAAAATAAAGAACGCTTTCCATAAAGCCAGTCGGGCTCAGCATTCTGAGCACAGCATTGTGCCTATGGTCAGCTGTTATTGATTGACCGAAAATAAGCTGTCGTTCATCGGGTTTAATCAGTTCTAAATCAGTACATTTTAGTTATTTCCAATGTCTGCATGAACCAGAGCCGTGTCAAAATCTGGTGTTTCCACCAAAGCCAAAAGTGAAGATGAATAACTTGGCGAAAAAGGTATACGCTGCTGTCGTGAAACTGGCTGCTTCACAAAAGCCAACACGCAAAGGCTTGGGACGGATAGCTACACTGGAATCATTGCGAAGATACAGATCTGACGTATTTTGAAAACAGCATCATGTGCATGACGACTAGGACTAATCGATATGAACGAACAAATGCCATGTAAGCAGTAATGTGCAAGAATTACTGGCACTCTTTTGTACATAGTGTACTCATATATACATACATATTACAGTGTAATATACCTGATAATTTTATTATGTAGTTGTAAAGCAAACGAATGCAATAGACGCGAGACTTGAATTATGTTATACAGTACTGATAACCGGAGCGTTGTCAGTAGTTTTGAACTAATATGTTTATTCTCAGTGAAGACTAGTTTTGAGGAAACGCAAAATTACTTGTTCTTGACACGTGGAGACTGAAGTAACCTACAAACACCTATGACACAGAGGAGCTCGTCTCTCAACACCAGAGGTTGAAATATATTTGCTTACTAAGAAACACTGACACACTTCGTTAATATCATAATCATCATCAGCTTTTTCGATCCACTGCTAGAAGAATACCTCCTCAAGACTTTGCCACAACTTCTGATTTTTGCGATTTGTGTCCATCTTGATCCAGCGAACTTGTTTAGCTCTTTCTGCCATCGGGGTCTTCTTTTAGGCTATCTACCCTCATTTGTAACCCAGTGTAATGCCTTTCTAGTCCAGTGAGTCTAACTTCTTTACTGGGGAAATTACATCGCAGAATCTTGTTTGTGCTGTTGTTCATTAATCCGCCTTTCTTATTATTCCCAATATACATCATTTCTTGTGCATTGCGTAGTTTGCAGTTTACTAATAGCTTTCAGGTTTTAGGGTCCACGTTAGATTTGCATTTAGAACATACACTGATCGAAAAAGCTTCACTTCAAGCAAATTGACAGTTTTCCTGACAGGAACATTCTCAGTATTACAGGAATGTTTCATGCCGTTATCATTCCATGTCAGTGATATATTGTAGCTAAAAACATAAAGCATCTACATCTGTAGCAAAAAATGAAGCAAAGTTTCATAGATAAGAGGAAAGAAATGTGCTGTTTATATTTGGTGTGTGTCTATGGAGCAATGAGCAATTCTTTAACATTTGCAAAAGTAAATCATTTGCGCTTCGCTTTGTCTGTCAGTGGTATGAGTCTGGAGCCTGGCGACTTAACGCTTTTGTTATTCAAAAAAAATTGCCGCGTTATTCTGGATGTTCAAACAAAATATCCATGTCTGATACATCAGTGAAAAAACCGTGAAAATTACGGAATATTCGCAAATGTTTCAGCTTTTAGTGGCTTTAAACAGTATTAAAACAAGACACGGCTCCAATGTGTTTCAGTGTTTGCAGTGACGGGTGCAAGACCAAATTATTACCCGTTACCAAATAGGTAAATTCTGGATAACAGGAAATCCTTGAAAATATGTCACTCTAAAAAAGCATAGCAATTTGCTCAATAATATCAATATGTTCGTCTTGCTCGAACATGAATCCTCTAAGAATAGATTTCACGGGGTACTGCGCGTCGCCTTGCCAATGGTTGCGTGGGTATTAATAAGCATATTGCAGCTATATTATATTCGAGCACCAGCAGCGCTAGATATATTTCGCTAATAGAGCCACCTCACGCTCATCGTGAATGATGTTTCAGGAGCTGACACTCCTTATATGCTATCTCATTCATATCAAAATACGTTCGTACCTCGGAGCATGCTACATGGCATCTAATTTCTCCGTGGAAGATTTCACGGCGAAATGCAACGCTGATTTGTTCTTAATTTCCTGTACAGTGGCTGGGGTGTATCATAGTGCCTAAGAGGTCGATTTCGAACTACCGAGGTCTCGGATTAGATTCTGGTGGATGAGCAATCTTTGTCTTAGCGAAAAATTACATTGAGGAAGGAATTTACTTGTTGTTTTAGACCCGCATTGCTCAGTCGGCAGATTCAGAACCGAGAGGCCCTTCGGGGTCACGCCTTTCTTCCTGAGGCTGTATCACTCTGTGTGGAGGAAATAGGAGGCTACTCTACACTTTCTACATAAGTGTTATCTACTCTGTCTTTAAAATAAGGCACTCGTGAATGGAAGTCAATGCTTCGCGCTTAATTTCATAAAAACAAGGGCACCAGAAATGCACCCAGCATGGATGTGTTCCAGAAAAACCAACATTTCCACGATTACAAACTTTTCATTCATAGTGTGCTATGGAGTATTTAAATTAGCAATGGTTCCATGGACACCTCGCACCGTTTTGTTCTGGTGCTATTCGGGCTTATTCAAGAACCATGTTTCAGAAGCTCATACTCTCCGGCACGTGCCGAGAAAAATAGATTTAAAGCCAATAACGTGTGTATCAGTGAAAGGCGACGTATTGCGTTTTGAACTTCTTTAATGTGTTCATAGAAAACAAACAATAACACATATTACCTGAATTCTGCGACAAAGAAGAAAATTGTAACTGACAGCTACCGGCTACAAATGGTATTAAAACTGAGGTCCAACAAAATGACATAATAGCCATAAATGATTATAGCGGTAAGGTTGCTGCGATCGCTCCTCCGTTCTGTTTAAAACATCTCACTGCCGTTTGTATTCGACGTACTTAAATGGGAAGAAATTATCGTGCTCCTATTCGAGAATTACAAAGAAGGAAAGCATTCTGTTAAATTGCCCAAAAACTCAACCTTTATGAACACTAAGTATGAATGAGCAACAAGCGCTTCGTTATGCAAACATTTCGACAAATGACTCATTCTTGTTCATTCATGTTTCTTTTCAAACAGTGATTTCATTCATATCTGTCACAAAACTGTTATATTTGACATGGTATATTTTTAAACGAGTTAGTACTAAAGGATTACTGGGCTGATAATATGAATCAAGACACAAGGTGATAAGATTTTTTGAATCTGTCCCAAACAAATCTGCACTACGGGACCCGGAGTTGGACTAGCACTGACAGCGAGTCGTACTCGCCGAATTCATGTATCTTTGCAATTCGGCAGATGTTCTATGTATTTGTGCAACGTGAATTTTTACCAAATGCGCAACTTCGAAAGCTCCACTCAGGAGGCAGCTAAAAGTACATTTGAGTATCGATGATCAAAAAAATTAAGGCTGAAAGATTACCCTTTCATTAGGTGACGCCAGAGCAGAAACTCGTTCGTTGTTCTGGTGAGAAGGCGGCGTTATGACAAGTAAGTTTGAAACGTTCTGAACGACAGTGAGGAGGATTTGTACTCTACTGATATGAACAGAAATAATGAGGAACTGTAACATCTGACAGATGCAGATACGCGACACTAGCCGCTCATTTCCGTGTTGCCGTTGCCAATGGACTGCCCCTGTGGATAGTCTATGTCGTACAACTTATCGAACATGTCTAGAAATTCACCGATTTCCATAGGCTGAGGGTCCTCAGCCGTGTCGATCATGTACATGCCGAGATTGTTCCAGTCGAAGTTGTTCAGATCAACCGTGTCCGACAGCAGCTCCGGCTCAATGCCCTCGTTTTCGCATATGGAACTCAACGTGTCACCTGGTGACGAACACGCGCCTTGTGACGGAGAAACGGGCGTCGATTCGCTGTCGGCCATGCAAGGCACCGTGGTATGGGCGACCATGATCAACTCGCTGGTCACGTACGGATAAGTCTCCCGGTTGATCGGCAACGACTTTAGCTTCATATCCGCCTCGCTGCGGAAGATGACTGCTTTGCTGTAGCACTTGTCACTGCCGTAGACAACCTCGACGTGTTGAAGTTGGGGACAGCGCGC